TCTTCCTGGTCACCCGATCCGGAGATGAAACGGCACAGTGGAGCATGGAAACCTCCTCATGTGACAACTGGATAGTCGTGAGTCGCGCAACCTGGCACCTCCTTGGAAAATTTGTACAGCAAGTCACCCAGTCCGACCCCAACGTCCTTCCAAAGAAAGCCAAGAAGGTCCAGCCCAGCGATGAGATCAAAGGCAAACTTATCGCTGCATTGAACTCACAAGTTGGTACGTTGATTTCATTTACTTCATTCACTTAGATGATATACTTACATTGAACGTGCACAGCACAATTTCTTCAAGAACCCTTGTCACACTTGGACTGTCACCCAAAGACCCCAAGTCCCCACTTAGCACTTCAGAAGCGGGAGTTCAAAGGCGGAATTAGGCTTGCAGTCAAACGAACCGCACAGAGCAAGATGACCGATCTTTTGCTTTTGACAGAGTTACAGAAGATGACCCTCGCCACCCACAAGCTTTGGTTAGCAGACATCGAGGCTGGCCATTACAAGGTCTTCCAACAACAATCTCCTGTGGCAGAGGCAGATACAACCATTGACAATGGGATTGACCAAGGTCAAGTAGAAGATGTTGTTACGACTCAACTTGCAGAACATTCACAAGCATCCAGTTGAGAGCGTGTAGGAAATTACAGAGATTCATTACACCTTCATTCTTGTCATGCTTTCTTTGCCTTCTTCTGTTGTTTCCTCATTTTTCGACAACTTTGTTAGTCCATTTTGTCTAGATAAATTCATTATCAATCATCATGAGAAATTGCAAAATTCATGAAGCAAAAACTTCATATATGTCCCAACCACTCAAACTCACAGCAGGCCAGATGAGAGCAACATAGCCGTGTTCACAAGTTCAATGGTCACAACCGAAATTCATGGTTCTGACACCAATACTAATCTTCACAAAGCTCACAGCTTCACTCACCTAGAACAACTTCACACAGTTCACTCATTCAAATGATATGCAGTGCAAGTGTAACCTCAACAAGTCAAGACCAGCTTGATCATCAAATTCACAAAGCTCACAAGGTACACAGGGCTTGCAGAGCTCACAACATTCACAAAGCTCACAAAGCTCACAAACATGACAAAGCAAATGCACCTGTTCAAATTTCCAGGTCAGAGTTCACTGAGCTCACACCTTCACCAGGCTCACACCTTCACCAAGCTCACAACTTCACACAAGGTCCAAAAATTGAGATCAACTTGATCAGCTTCACAAATTCCTTGCCTCTTACAACAGGCACGCATTGTGAGACTGGTCCATGGAAAGGGAAGCGCGCTCTTAAGAAGAAGAATAACTGCAAATAGACAATTAAGTACGAGCGGACCTACCAATGGAGGATTATTATGGGTATCATTATACCCAAAGAGTCGAGAACTCTATACGGCCCTTCTGTCGCCAGATCGAGACAGACTCAGTAGAATCAAGCTACATATATACTTAGATCCTTCCTATTGGTTTGTCCCTCGTTCACAAATTGATTCTCTATCTTATCAATCATCTTTACATTATTCTTTCCCTTACCATCCAGTCAAGAGCAAAGAAACTCTCAACTGAATACTTTATATAATTTTTTCGTTTTTAAATTTAACTCCTTTACAATTTAAATTCTTATTACTCAAATCCCGTATACTAGTTCTTATTACATTAAATTACATTAACTCAAATCCCGTAGACTAATTCCTATCACAAGATACGATTCTAGTATAACACCTATAACATCATACTCTGTCCCTTTTCAATTCTGACCGTTTCAATTCTAGTCACTTTTCAATCCTAATATCGTCATAACATCCACGAGACCAATTCCAAAACAAATCTCTTCTATTATTCATCGTTTTATCTAATTTCTTTAAAGACACATTCGCAGTCAATCGTTTAGCCAATCTTGAAACACTTACCTTCATCTCAATATTAAGTCAACGTTAATCTAAGACCTACACCTTATATCAAACCAAGACCAAATGGCAAGTATAGGATCGAGAGCCATCAGAGCGAATCGAAGAGCACAAGGAATAGCTAATTCAAACGCCGAATCAGGAAACGGTCCTCAGACTTCCTCGAGCGATGGAGAAGACTTACCCCAAGATGCTGAGAAGGAAATAGGAGAAGACTCAATGACGACTAATGAACCCGAAGAAGATCCTGAGATGCTAGACGAAGACGATCAAAGAGTCCGAGAAGATGACATCGAAGGAAGACAAGAGATGCAAGAAGGCAATCGAAATGACGATGACATTCAACTAAGTGAAGACGAGAATTCAGACGAAGAAAGATTAGAAGAAGAGTCCAATTCTACCTCAGACAAGGACACAATCAATCAAGACAAAGCAGGCGACAAGACTTCGGAAGAAGACGAATCATCATCGAACTCAGACACAGACAGTAGTGATTCTTCAGAAGCAGATCAATCTAGTTCTTCAGATTCAGACACAGACGATCTAAGCTTGATTTCATCAGGCTCCGATTCATTCTCAGAATCGTCGAGTTCAGAAGATGAATCAGATTCTTCCTCAGAAGATAATAGAAGGTCAAAGAAGAAAAAGAAACGTAAGTAAAACGTGAAATGCCCTTTGGATCTACAATAATCCATTTCTTCTCCAAAAAATTACTCTTCTACCACTTGAAATATCACAAAAAGAACTATATGTCATAGCCTTCTTCCTGAATGACGAATTCAATCTAAACCCACCTCCGTACCGTTATCGTTCACATCCCTGTGATCAAATCCCCAAACTCAATAAACGCTTGAGTATCTCGCGGAAAGAATAACATCCCTTCATATAACAAAGACTTTAGAGACATCTAACTGATTGGCTCGTCTGACCGTTGTTTAGGCGCTAACAAGAAAGCCGCAAAGATGAAGAAGTCGAAATCAAAGTCTAAAAAGACTTCGAAAGGAAAGACGAAAGCTAAGAAGTCAAAAGATAAAAAAATCGAAGAGAAGAAACAAAGACAACAAGTCTTCGAAAAAGAAGTCAGAGATAAAGATCGAGATCGGATCTATCCCAACAGGAGACTTAGTAGCCCTTCAACCTTTCTGGAGCGAACAAATGACGGAACTTCAGTCTTCAATCCCTTTAACAATCTTCGATCAAACCTTTGCTAGAGCCGATCGAGAAGAACATAACAAGAAACACCACTCTTCTTCATCAAAGAACAAGTCAAACAAAGGACTCGATGCACCTTCTGAGTACAACCTTACATTCGGCGAATGGTCTGAATGCATGAGCTTGTTTCGAAGATACTTAGCAGGTTACTATGGTCAGAAGCTACTAGCAAAACGCCTGAAACTTCACATAGAAAACGTGAAATCCATTAAGTAAGCTTAAAAAGTGAAAGAAGCGAATTGAGGAAAGAGGATTATATAACTGACTGATCGCAATAATTCAGACGTTCAACAGAATGCTGGATGACAGCTTTAAGATACGACATACTGGTTAGACAACAAATTTTCGTAAAACGAGTCGGAAAAACTCCAATGAAAGACATAGGCATCTTAATGACAAAGTATGAAAACCAAGCTAAAGACAAGTCATTAAGAGCTGGAGAAGCAAATGGAGGAGACACTAACCCTTACGCTAAAGGAGGCCGCCTAGAGAACCGTCACCCAGAAACTGGAGCCTATCGGTAAGAATCATATAAATTCTTTACGATAAAATACGTCATAGAAACTAATATGACTGAAACTTCAATAGCTCAAACCCATCGAGCCACTTAACAAACGTAGACAGGTTTACGCGCCAACAAAATGATAGCAATCCCCTCAAACGAAAAAGAGGAAAAAGAGGAGGTCATGCAACAGCGCAACACCAATCACAAACTACCGTTCCAAAACCAGTTCCAAGACCAATCCACCACAATCTCCCAGCTAACCCGATGATTTATCAACAACTGAATCCTCTACCACAAACGACAAACGTTACATCTAATAGGTTTCCTAACAGAGGAGGTAGAGGGAGTTGGAGAGGTGGGAGGGGAAGCTTTCATAACAACAGAAACGAAGGGTAAGTGAGACTGAGTTACTTGGGACAATTACAACATCGATGAGAAATCCCCAATCTTTTCTTTTGAACCTACTTTCTAATTTTAAATTTTCAAACTCCATGTCATCTCCAAATATCAGAGAAGATCTGTTACAGACAATTTCCTTTTTTTTTTAATTACTAACAACACTAATAACTCCCTCCTTTCCAAATACTCGGTTTTCTTTGTACATATAATCTTGCATAGATCTAGTCAAATTGTATTCACAAAGATTTTGATTCACATTGATAGAAAGTTGTAGCATTTTAACATAGGCCATTGCTATTTGCAGCCCACAAGAAAACCATGTAGGCGCTGTTTTGGCAGCGCCTACATGGGTGTTTCCCACGAAAAAGCGCCTACATTTATGATGTAGGCGCTGAAAACCATATAAAATGACGCATACATGATAAACAACCCATGTAGGCGTCATTTGGTTACGCCTACATTCAAAATTTCAGAATGTAGGCTTATTTTTCAAGCACCTACATATCTAATTTGAAATGTAGGCGCTATTTTTGAGCGC